TACCCTGTTCTAGCTCATAATCTAAAAGTTGTCTTTTACCAGCTGTGATGTGTTGTGTTTTACATTTATCAATTCCAAAGTCCATTTGTATGTCACGTGAGAATGTTTCGGTAATGTGTAGAAGGTGATTAAGTTTTATGCTTGTGGAAGAGTATAATTTCAGATCGTCCATGTAAAACAGGTGTGTAATGTTGTGATGTATTTCGTGGTTGTGTTTAATATTGTACCCAAAGTTAGTAGTGTTTAACAAATGTGAAAGTGGATTAAGAGCAAGACAAAACCAGAGCGGACTTAAAGAATCGCCTTGAAAAATTCCTCTTTTAATTTGTATTGGGTCAGTAATAAGTTTTGTGTCGTTTAGTGTAAGTGTTAACGTAGTGTTCCAACATGACATTATGTAATTGAGGAATTGTGTAATATTGTTGCTGACTTTGTATATTGAGAGTACTTGTTGTAACCAAGAGTGTGGTACTGAATCGAATGCTTTTTTGTAATCAATGTATGCAGTGTGTATGTTTCGTTTGTTATGTCTGGATTGTTCAAGTATTACAGAGTCTATAATGAGTTGCTCTTTACAGCCTCTGGAACACTTGGTACACCCTTTTTGTTCTTCGTATAAAATGTTGTTATCAGTACAGTGTTGGTATATTTTGTTGGTAATGCATGATGTAAGGATTTTGTATATTGTAGGAAGGCATGTAATTGGTCTATATTTAGATGGGTCTTGTGTATTGTTGTCTTTTGGGAGCATGTAAGTGATACCTTGTGTAAAGAATGCAGGAGTGCGATCTGGTGAATTAAGAAGTTCGGTAAATTGTTGCGCAAGGTAAGAGTGAGTGTAGGTAAAATATTTCCACCAAAAGTTGTGAATGTTATCAATGCCTGGACTTTTCCAGTTATGTAAGTGATTAATATTTGTTTGAATGATGTCTGTTGTAGTGATGTTTGTGTTATTCATAGAAGTAATGTATTCAGTGCGTGTGGTTTCTGTGGTAATCCACGGGGCGTGTGGATTGTGTTTAATGTCTTTGGTCCATAAGTCAGACCAGTATTGCTGAAGTGAGTGTAGAGATGGCGGAATGAGTTTTTCATTAGTGCTGTTTTGTGTTAGTGATCTGTAAAATAGTTTTTCGTTATGTTTAAATTGTGTGTTATGGCACTTTCTGTCTGCAGTTTCCCTATAGCGTTTTAAACGGTTTGTGTATATAGATAGTTTTTGTGTGAGTGTATCTCTATGTTCGTTATAGTTTGTATTTTGTTCTCGTGTGGTGTGATTGTTTAGTTTTGTAGTTATGTGTTGTACTTGTCGTGTTAATTTTGAAGAACGAGTTCCTTGTATGTATTGTGTAATTCGACCCAAGTCACGTCTGATGTCATCGATGCGATTAATCAGGCGTTTTTCCCAAGCCGGGGGTGAGCGTTTTTTTGTTGTGTGGTGTTCTTTGTTTGTTGTTATTCTTGAACCGTTACATCTATAAACTGCAACCGCACCGCAATACACAACAAAGTGTAGTTGATGTAAGCTTGTGTTATCGTTAATGTAATTTGGTAAAATGTGATCATTTAGTGTTTTTGAGAGTGTGCGTAATTTTGTAGTGTGACTTTGTTTAGGTATTCGTGCTCTTTGTGTTGGGTCAGTGTTTGAGAATTCTAACAATGCATTGTCAAATTCTTTTTGAAGGAATGTGAGTGTTTGGTTTATGTGATTATTTGTATCTATCGATTGCTGGGGTGTCGCAAATGTCTGTATTTCAGAGTTGTTTAGAACGGGTGTATTATCTTGTACGATGAGTGTGTTGTTTGTGTTGAGTAGTGCTTCAATTTCGTGCCTGATTTGTTCCTGTGTGTCTAATGTAAGGAGTGTATTTTTAATAATAACTCTACGTTGGTCTGCAATGCGTTGTTCTGTTAAGTGTGCTAAATGTGGGTATTGTGTAATGAACGCGTGATATAGTTTACCTCTGTATGCTGTCCTGTCCGTTTCCATCTTCGTGATCTCCAGATACGTACCGAAAATGAAGCGATTCATCCCTTCGTCCCATTTCATACGTCTTTTGGAGGTATCCTTTGCGCTGGTCCCATCCACAAGCGGTTGAGAAGCAGGCACAAAGGTCTCTTCATGGCGGTCCTCTTCAGGTGGTCGTTGTCCTCTTCGTAGTCTTCTTTCGGCTGTAGAGGTTTCGGGTATCCCGACGAGCGGCCGCCTGTTCACCAACTCGTCACTATCGGCTCGCATGCTGCAACGCCCAGCGATAGCTCCAGACGTGCCCTGACGCTCCTCAGGTAGCGGCATTTTTCCGAGGCTTTGTTTAAACTCCATTTTCATAAGAATATGGGGTGACTAGGAACACGTGAAGGCGTCACTCTTCAAGATATTCGCGTAAGCAAATATCCACCTGCGTGTTGTGTATAATGTAGGAAAGTAGGGAAAATGGGCGTGGAAGTTGGAAAGTAAAGTGGGTAGGTAAATACTAAAGGTGGTTGGACTGGTCACCTTTAGTGCCCATTGATCGCCTTTTACGATCTCTAGGGCGAGAGTGGGCCTATTCTATCCCCGAACCCATTATTATTTTAAATCTGTAGCCTTTTCCTACCGCTGTAACTTTGTACTACTAGGGCCATCCAGAAAGTAACAGACGTTTTGAAATAAAAAATTAAGAAAGTGTAATAAACAACTTTTATTATATACATTTGGAAGCTACACTCTTAGGCTATTTTCAACACAGTCGCCATTCATATTGAGGCACTTAAGATAGCGTGGTACAAGTGTTTTGATTCAAACTGTGTATACATCCGCCGTCTGTGGGGGCGTCGGAAGCGGGTGTGTGGTAGCTCTCGACAAGATCTTACTAACGGTGGAGTCAAAACTTCAAACGCGAATTCCGGGCGAACGGGATGTCGGAGGTGGGTACCGACAAAGGTAATATGGGGCCCCCGGCAAAATCTTATTGATTGTGGTTACTGGTACTGATCTGCCACACAAAATGCGCTGAAATCCCTTACATCTCACACAAAGACTTTGATAATTTTTTTTACTTTTTAACAATGTTCGGTTCATCTTAAAGGAGCGTAAATTTAGTTTTAATTATATTTCAGTGCACCCTGTAGTCGACTTTAGCAAAGTATTAGAATTTAACTGCCGTTCTTGTCTTTTATGACTGGCCTATACGGTACACCACGTACTGCCCATCCCGACTTAGTGCCCTCGGTGCTTCAGCGCCTCCGGCGCGCCCTCCCCCATTCAGAGCGCGGTGCCGCGGCACCTTTGGCACCTACCTAGTTACGCAACTGCACCTAAGGAACAAAATTGTCGAACAGTTTTTTAAAATAACTTGGTTGGGAGGTATTGTATTGGGAAAAACATGACTTACTAGTGCGCACGCCACTTTTGACATGTTCAATATAATCCATCGATTTGCTTTTATTCTAGGTTTTTCTGTTAAAATTTGAGAAAGAACAGTCCACAAATAAGTTACTTCTGCGTTCTGGGAATGCGCCCACGCATTTTTCACATGTTTAATATAATGGATCGATTAGCTTTGATTGAAAGGTGCTACTGATAAAATGTTAGTCCACAATCTGTCCACAAATAAGAGTTATTTCTGCACATGCACGCACGCGGCTTTTCACATGTTAAAATATATTCGAACGATTTGCCTTTATTAAAACGTGCTACTGTAAAAATTTCAAGGAGATCCGTCTATATTCTCTAAATAAGAAAGTTACCTCTGCACATGCGCAAAACGATATGGCCTTCAAATCTAAAAAGTAATGGGGGTTGTCTTTAACCAGCAAAAAAAATTATGCAATTTTTCGTTAGATATATTAAATTTCCTAATTATCGTTCATATATTGACTAGACTCTAGAGGGTTATCCAAAATATTTTTCAAGGTACATTTACAAAGTATACTTCAGATGGTAACACACAAAAACTTTTAGGTAATCCTGAAGACCGCGTAAATATGAAGCATAAATCGAGAATATACGTACCAAATATCTTGTAAAGATTGTAATCAAGTATACAGGGTGGCCGGTAAGTCTGGAAACGGTCGCTTATCAGGGGAAAAATACAATATTTGGGGTTATAAAGGCGTGGCAGACCAAAATTTCAGTTTTTTAAATGCAGAACCCTGTACATTTTTCAATATTTCAATTCTGCTCTACTCTCTTCCAAAAAAAGATCAAACCTATATGAAAAATGTAGGGAATGTTGTCTACTTTCATTTTTTATACTTTTTAATGTTTGCCTACAAGCTTCAAATTCTTGTTCATTGCCTCAAAAATCATTGAATGGGAGAAAATCCAAACTCTAGCAAAACTTTTCTCTGAATCACAATTTCTTTCATATCAGTATCTAACAGTTACCAAGTCAACGTAAATATCATATGGTAAAATGCGATGGCTCAACATAAAATCTTTCATACCTATATAAGTTTGCGATATAATCGTTTTCTATATAAATTTCCAATGAAAAGGAACAAAGCGTGATGCGTGTCTTGTATTGATAAAAAGAAGCTCTTTTTTTTAATAAAATGTATTAATGTAACAATGTAAGTAAATCTAATATTGTCAAAAAATGTTAATATCGATATTACATTTTTCAAAGCAACATTTGGGATGAAAGAATTTCGTAAACGCTCATTGTATATTCTATGCTATATAAGTATTTCTTCTATAATGCATCATTCTTTCTGGATAAACCTTCCCGCTTTCATATCTCCTTAACTTTCATATCAAAATCATAGCCAAGCTGGGTGACTGGACAGATATGAGAAAATCCACGATTCCATTTGTCAAATAACGAAATATAACTCGATTTAGAAAACACTCGGTCGATGTTGTGTTATTTGTTAGCAAACACTATTTATCGGAAATTCTATATGTGAAACATTGATGTCTGAATTCACAGAAAATTTACATAATATAAAACGTGGCACATTAACTACTTTATAGATATTACTCGAACGGCTTACAGCTAATTTATTTAATTTTTTTACAGAAAATGGATTACCTCGCCGATTGCGGACGGCGTACACTAACACACAGCTGCTTGAACTAGAAAAGGAGTTCCATTTCAATAAATACTTGTGCAGACCTAGAAGAATAGAAATAGCCGCTTCATTGGATCTTACGGAAAGACAGGTAAAACACGCAATTTAGTCGCGAAAGAAGTATAGACGTTATAATTTTTAGGTGAAGGTCTGGTTTCAAAATCGACGAATGAAGCACAAGAGGCAAACGTTAAGTAAGCAAAACGACGACGGAGACGACAAGGATTCCATTTCTAGTGATGGTGCAAAAAGTGGAAAAATGTCTTCTGATAAACTCTTATGCGACGAAATGTCTAAAAAAAGTTGTCAGGGATGCGAAATGCCACCGGCGGGTGTTTGCGGTCCTCACGATGAAATGCCTGACTTAAATTCATCCAGAGGAAACAATAATAATACTCCTAGCGCAACAAATAATAACACAAGTTTTAGTAATAATAATAGTAACGGAGCTAGTAGTATAGCTAGTTCCGGATCTTTTGATAAAATCAATAGTGAAGAGGACTCCCAATCGAACGAAGATATAAATTCTCGTAGTTCTCCTCGAATATCAAAAAAGCCATCCAATACGGGGTCTATTACAATTAAGACGGAAAATCTTCGAAACTCTCCGGTGGGTCATGATCGAAAGGTGGGCATTCCTAAAATGTCGCCAAGCGTCAATCACAAGGATTCCAACGCAATCGGAAATGTATCCGATGCGATTACAACAAATAAAATTGTATCCAAGTGCGTACCTCCACTGAACCCTCCAACAGTAAATACTTCCGGATTGGGAATTGGCCCAATTAACAATAGTTCCATATATCCACATTTACAACGATCTTCACCTACTACTGCCACAGCAATAGCATCGGCAACCGTTACAATTCAAAATGTAGCTAACTCTATACCTCCATTTGCAGCACGAGGTGCTGGTGCTCAAATGAATAACTACACAACCCAGTACCAGCTTAATACTCAGGTCGAGTACAGAAATGACAGCAGGTCAAAATCTCATCAGCAGTACCATCATGGTTATGCGTCTAGTGAGATGTACAATCCCGACCAGGTGGTAGTTGGTGAAAATCACTCATACTTCAGAAATCAAGTTCATTCAAACCCTTTGACGCATGAGGAATCAAAGGAAGAGTTATCCCTTAGAAACCAAGGGCGGAGTAGGCATTCCTACCAATCCGCGTATGCTAACCAACAGAACTATTACGGATACAACAAAAGACATCTTGCACCAAACGAAAATTTTCAGCACAACGTCGCCAATCAAAGTGGTTATTCCCACGGTTACCAAGCCGAGCACGTCGGCTACAACCACTATACGTACCCCACATCGGGAATATACCCTAACGAATCGTCGAATAATATTGGAAACTCTGGACATATGAATCATGCACACGACTCAAATTATTATCCGGGAGAGAACATGCAAGGCATGCATAAGATCCACAATCAAACGGAATACGCCAGTAAAATTAATTACTACGAAAACAACACGTACAACAACACTCACTTGGCTCCTCACACGGAGTCCTCGTCGTACATTCCCACAGAGCCGTTTTCCAACGCGGCAGTAGCGACCTCCCTTACCGCGGCGGTTATGACACCTCCAGCAAGTGTTCAAACTGATTCTAGTGACACGTACAATTCGTTTCACCAATTCTATTCGGGTGAAGCACCCCAAACCCACGTACCTCCGACCGGAGAAAACAGTAATAGTTCGTCGGACTTTAATTTTTTAAGTAATTTAGCTAACGATTTTACTCCTGAGTATTATCAAATTTGATTCAGTGCAATGGACGACTTAGTTTTTACTTAATATCTGTTGATGCGTATTTTTTTATTATATGTTGTTACTACTATTATTATATTATTAAATCGTGTTTATAGTTTTATAGGAGGATCGTCTCCGTAGCTTTAATTTATTGAATCTACTCTCAAACTCTATGGAATGCCGGTTTAATATCAAAATGTTTAACAAGTTCGCCTTCTATAATTACAAAAATATAATATTTGACAAAAAAAAACAAATTACACTAATTTAATCCTTATCCTTTACATGATTCAGAAAAACAGTTACAGCATATATGATGGTAGAACAATTTATAGATGGTTAAATGAACGTATAACATTATAGTATTAAAAGGGCGTGCCATACTAATCGAAGTTTTTAGAACTCTAAATACAAGAACTTTTCCTACAAATAAAATTTTATGGAAATTACCTGATCGGTTGCATCAAAAAAGTTGTTTCTGTTCTTCCTACCCATGTAGTATTTATTTTGTTGAACTTTCGTCAATTTTTGAACCATGTACAGTACATAAAGGCTAATTGGTTAAGTTCGCGTTAAAATTAGTATTAATTACTAATTAAGCTTCGTTAAAACGCTGTTCAGCTACTTTGTATACTAATCCTGTGTCCATTTTTCACACTACAAGTTTTTAAGACGCTGCATATTATCTACTTACCATAGCCACAAGTACATAAGAGTACATACCGAAACTAGTTCAGTTTGATGGACACATGAATGTATATACTAAATTTTGAAACTACGTTTCTGTTACATTTTCTTGCACGACTAAGCAGAAGGTAATCATAAATGTAAATGCATGTACAATTAGTAAATTTTAAGTAGACATTTACTGTTGATGTATATACTTTTGAGTCGAAGGTAAATTTAATTTAAAAAAATGTACAGTTAGCAACGCAACACAATTATTGCTATTCTAGCAAATATACATCTTTAACATTTTGCGTTTTTTTAACCTATTTCCCCATTCAGATGGTTTCCGTTCAGAAAAAAAATTAATTAAAACTTTCTTTCAATTACACTTTGGGAATATACTAAATCGAAATGTTCAGATCGAACGGGAAAATATACATAGTAGAATCATAAAATGGTATATTGGAAATAAGGTGGCTGACAGTGATGAATTACCCTGCACGTTGAGTGAGTCATCCCAAACACACTTTTGGTCCCTTCTACACCCCTTAAAGGCGCCTTGTCAGCTGATTACTGATAAAAGTTTTACATTAAGCAGCGTACAGGAAATATTTTCTGTAAAAGTGTAAACATGCCGACGAAATTTGTGGCGTAAAGATTGCGTAACTAGAAAGCAACGAATAACGATATAAATTGTGCTAGCTTGACAGAAAAAAAATTTTCAAGATTAGTAGTCTTTTTTTACGCGATCCGGTGAAAATGTACTCATTTTAATTAAATTCCAAATTTTAAAGGTTTTAACGTTCTCGGTTTTTATTCAAGGATGTTCGAGAAATAAGTAATGCTATAGGTAATAATTATTGAATCTAAAATTTGGCAAACGACGGCAAACGCCATCTAACGAAAATTATTGAAGTCAATTATTTCGGCAGATGTTAGAGGTCTATAAACTCTATGTTGACAGTAAGTAATACACTTTAGTTACAGGTTACTGCATTTAAATATAGGATTCGATTTCCCAAAAAAGTTTCCAAATTGAGTAAGCGTTGTATGCGATTGTAGAGACCGTTTTCCTAAAAATAAAAATAGTGATATAGTGTGAAGTTATTCATTCAAAAAAAGCTTTGAATATAGATACAAAGATAATAATTAATTGCACTATCACGAACAAAATGCTCGTAAAATGTTTGAAATACGTACCTAATAAATGAACCTTTTTCTTTGTAAAGGAACGGGTGGAAACTCTACTGTGTGTGATTGCATAGGTAAGTCTTATTCCATGATGATATTCATAAATCATAGCGTAAAAATTAGTAATTCCTGGTATTTCTATGTGTTGATGCAGTTCCCAGAGTTCAGTTTATACAAAGATCATTCATAACTAATCATAAGACGGCAAATGTAATCTTAATAGGCAGTATTTAATGCACTTATTAACTTTGGACAAATGTACTCAGAAAGTGTGCAACTCATGTAATCGTTGATGCAGCACCTTGGATTTGGACACATCCTGTTCTTACCTACATCCATCCACCGGCTACGACACAACATCTGCAACATTCAGGAGAAGCAAGGTGGGCTTTTCAAAACTGTATCTGAAATCAGATGCGGTAGTTGTCTTTTACAACCCCACCTCAACTCACGACGGCCTGGGAAGCTATGCTTCCTTAAATGGTATGCGGCGCCATCAAAACAGACCTCCCTCAGGCTATACCGCTTCCGGTCATTTACGAGGTCAGTGGCAAACACGAAGCTTCATATCAGCTCCATCGCACCAACGCAGCTAAGCGGAATTTCTAGCGCACCAGCCACCAAGTGCAGCAATGACTTGGAAATTACCTCCATCCACAAGACTGGAGGTGGAAACATTAAGCATTCCTTCCTGGTGCCAATTATTACAGAAGAACCAGTAACCCTAGAGGTTATACGGCAAACATTTTTTGTCATTGCACCCTTGAATTTATAAATTCAATGGTTGCACCAAGGAATGTGTAAGTATCAAATATGGATGCCGAAAGGCAATGCTTAACTGTTCACGGCCAGAAAGGTTGAAAACGTTAAGTAATTAAATGAAACATTAAGAAATGTTGTACGTGTACGTACAATGATATTTATCATAAACCTAAAGAGGATCTAAAGAAGTATAAATTGTGCACAACTCTTGTGCAGATAAAGCGCATTTTTTTTTAAACCGAAATAGTTTTTGTTTTGACATCGCCAATGGATATATTCCTTGCAGCCGTCTCAATCGCCCAGTGCCCGGGCCCAGGGCCCCGAAGTCCTGAGGGGCCCCCAAAAGTTTGTGCGAATGAAAAAATTTTAGTGCAAAATCTGCCGCCTTAAAGTAAATGCAGATTTAAACAAAATTAATGCTTAGAGTAAGGGATACCGGAAATTCTAAAATCCTGCAGATCGTGTATAGTATAAGGTTACCATTTAGAAAGTTCAAAAGTCCTAATAAGTGATAAAAAGCCTAAACTGGGTATTACACTGAGGTTTTACCCATGGGTAAGACATTGACTTTATGGTTCAATAAAATAAAAGTCCGGTCATTTTCGTCACAAAATGCAAACATTGTGCCGTGTGCCAGATGAGATTAAAACATTTATCCCTGATGAGTATTGAAAATGATATTCTCCAAGAAATTGATTTTAACAATGTCATCGAAAACTTTGCGTTACTATAAAGGTCCGAAAAAAACCTGTCTAACCTGCATAACTTGTAAAGTAAATAAATCTGTAAAATACCTGTTTTTGTTTAAAAATATTTTTATCGAGGGTAAGGGGGGCCTCCACGAACGAATGGCCCAGGACCCCGAAAAACTTAAAAACGGCCCTGCAATCGCCCTTTGTGAGTACCCTCTTCCGACAATGGGGCTAGCGGTGTTCCTTACTGGGCGAAGGTTTCCTTCGTCACCTCTTTTTTCACTTCGTTATTCTGGAGGGAGTCATTTCTCCAGCCACTGCTGAACTTGAAAATGTTACAAGCCGTATTTTGCCGTTTTTCTACTGCCAACTACAATACTATACCTTCAACCCGGGTTCAAAATGAAGGCGCCATCCATAGGTAAATATAGTCGGAAAGCCGGAATTTTGATTAAAATTTGACATAGTTGACCGCCCCTGTCAGTCTTAAGCCACGAGATATTACTGGCAGACATGAGGATTTCTATTTCGCTATGTGTCAGAAACCTTTCCACAAAAACGGCATAACGGCTAATCATTCATCTTCCGCATAAATTTATCTGCCAGTTAATTTCTATGGAAACAAAGGAGCTTATCTATCAGATAAAGTTTACTGAAATAGGTATGAAAGTCCATTCCTGTACGTAATATAAAAACGTTTATCAGCTGTTGAGGGTAGTAACTCGGGACTTTTCAAACAAACGTGTAATCATTGAATAATTTTATTATTCAATGGTGATACTTTTAAACTCATCACTTAGGTACGCTTGCATTATACGTCGTTGTATTCGTACCGCATATTGACTTTTATTATTACCTTTGAATATTAGGTATATTCAAAGTTACTACAGCATCAAATGCACCTCTATAAGTATAGACTATAGGTACATACATTGCATTACACCATTGACAGATTTATTATGCAATGGTATCACTCCTTAAAAGCGGATAATCGATATTACTGGGGCAATAAATAAAATTACATAAAAGAAGGAAATAAGGGCTTCTGCAACCTTTTCAGGCGTATTGTAGTTCCATCTACCTTCAACAGTACATATTGTATGATTTAACCATACGTAGAACTCGTGCTATACACCCGTTACACCACTTCTTATCATAGATGGCAGCTTAAATACAGCTACGCAGAGATAGTAGCTTGTGCGGTAGAAATATCATTGAATTTATAACTATAAATAGTTATAAATTCAATGGAAATATGTTCCCTGTGATGTCATGTGTACCATGCCATCATCATGACCATTGGGAATTTATAAGTATGTGCTGTATTTAGTTTCTTGCACTATTAATAAATTATTAACACGTTCTCTCATTGGGTTGATGTTAGGTTGTTCATTAAAAAATTCTGTTTTTATTTAAGTGTTTTCCAATGAATTTATCATTTTTTGTCGTATTTTGAAAGTGCTGGAACACAATTATAGGCGACGCGCCTCGTTTGGATTATGTATATTTTGTTATTTTTAATTATCAGCTGCAATTAAAAAAAAACTATATTCTAATTGATTTTCGAGAAAGCAATAAGTACTTTAAAATGATGCAAAAAATATTTTTGTGTGCACCGTAGAGCTCCCCCCCCCCCCCCCCGTCATTATACTAATACTTTACTGAATTCCACCTGGCCGTAATACCCAGTCGCGTAATATATTGTAGCAGAATAACTATGAAGTTTAGTCTATCTCTATGCTATGAACTAGCAAATTTGTGTATAGTAGCACGTCGTTTTAAAATTTTTCAAAATTTCGTTTTTAATGTGCAAGAAAATTATAATCATAAAGGCTGTCGCGCACTTAAGTGCGGCGAGGCGCCTTTTGTACTCACGCTGATATAAATAGGCAAACGATCACTTGAGTTTATAGCAAAGACCGAGCAAAGACTATCCTTTGAATTTTGATCTATGCCTATATTACGTAGGTATAATAAGCAATCGTTGAGAATTCTTTGGAATTTCTTTACTCCATGAAGCATTTGAATGATACGGCATCCGATTAACTGGATTTGGTACCTCACGCATTTAAACTGTTTTGGGTAAAAATCGTAGTGTCTAGGATACTAAGCTTGGTCACTGAAAATAGTGACTACTAAGCCTC